CTTATCGTCCCCTTGCAGTGTTTGTGTTAGTTCATTGAGTTCTGAATCAACTGTTAGTCTGCGGTGCCACGAGAGGGGACAATTAGCCTAATGACATGCAGGAGCAAATCACACTCAGTGCTGTGCAAACACTTGCTCAGTGAATATTCATGTGCTGTTGGCTTTGCAGATGCATTAAAAGGCGGCACCGCTTTGCTTGAATACCAATCGTTACATTTCCACCTGAAGTTAACATCATAATCAGCCTCGTTGCTGATGTTTTGGCATCGTCTTCACTCAAACACAGACCACATCTGTCACCGTCTGTGACCCAGCAACACCTGCTGCTGTTCGACATTTATAGACAGAGGCGCCTGCTCACCTTTTACTTTAATGGATGGAGGAGAAAATGTCAGACCGTGGAGTTCACCAGATGAACTTCAATCCCCACAAAAGTTGATGATCTTGTTATAGTGCTGCAGCCTTCCGGCATACATGACACTAGATGCTGTTATCTTGAAAAGAAGGTCGTGAATCAGAGGTGGTTACAGCTCTTAGGGACAATTCACTAAAATGTGGTTTAAAGCAAACATCATGAAAGGTTAAAAAGAAGTGGCTGCAGGGTCTAATAACATATAAAAAAACACTCCGCCATGCTCAACCTGTCGCCCTTCATCATCAACAGAAAAAAAACATAATCCTAACATCTTTTCACCCTATGTACACTCCATTTGGAAAATAATATCAGGAAGCACCAAATTAATTTCCATTTTTGTGCAGATTAAATGCTACAAGACCACATAAAGCACTTCACAGCACAGTTTTGCCATTCATCCATTCACACACACACAATATCAAAACAAAAAAACCCCATCTTGTCTCATAAGGATGCTGAAAAACTAGTCCACATGTCACCTCTCGATTGAAAGACTGTTATTCCTTTTTATTTGGACATCCCAATAAGTCTGTGAAAAGCATCAAGTTGATCCAAAATGCTGACAGGGACTAGTTAGGGCTCCTTTAAAATCCAGACTAGAATTTAAAATCCTTCTGCCTACGTACAAAGCCCCTAATGACCAAGCTCCATCACAGCATAAGAACATCATAATACCCTCTTATCCAAATACAACGCATCAGTCTCAAAACTCAGACTGCTGCTATCGAGAAGTGCAGCCTCTTTTATTAACAATACTATTACTCATACAAGTATTATTATTGCTACCATCATTACAGCCAGTACTTGATAACAGTATAAACAGTGGAGCTGCTCCTGGTCTCTTCATCCTCTCTCTCCTTTCTCTGCTTCTGTGAACTAACATTTAAAAAAACAGGTCACAGCAAGAAACCTTTAAGTGTCTCATATCATATGGGCTCCTACTGTGAGGGAACTGAAATATATCTGTCAAAATACTTGTGTGTATTAATGCCCATGTCACATTCATTCACATGCATGGGTCATTAGAGAGGATCTTTACTGTTTCAGCCACTGTGCAAATGACATTTCAATTTTTATACGTAGAAATCCAGGGTAAGTGTCTGATCACCCTCTCTGCCTCCATCTCCACAGCCTGTCTTACTCTATATTGATTTGTAGCAGAGCATTAGCTGCTACTCATCAGTCAGACAGAGCCGACTGTGGCTCAGGCCGGCCAGATGAAGGTGAGATTATCCTCCATTAGATAACGTAACGGTACGGTGGCCTGTATTCACAAGAAGTCCAGTAAACTAGTCGGCTATTTCTAAAATAGCATGGGGACGATAAGGGAGGATTTTTTCACATTACAGGTACATTATGTGTATTCAGGTGTATTCAGGATTATGTGTATTCAGGATACCTGGGGCATTAAATGTGAAATTAAAATTTTACACTGTTTTATGTAAAATTAGCCAAATAAAATAACCAAACAAAGCATCAAATGTGTAATAGAACAACCAATAAATCCATCAAGGCTGATCCAACTCCCACAAACCCACAGATTTCCTGATAATGAATTACTCTGTGAAGTAAAAAATAAAGGGCAGGGGGGATGGAGTCCATGCTCTGCTGTAAATGTCAGTCTGATGAACACAAGAGAGACGATACGTAACCTTACTCAACACTGTCATCTGGAGGCACTTGAGTGTAAAGGTTTAAGGAGGTGATTAAAAACAGGAAGCCAAGTCTTCCTGTTTTTAAAAAGCCTCTTGTATTGGAGCTGTTTCTGGACTCATGTTTCTATTGTTGAATCCATCTTTTCTATTTTTAATCTGCATCCTTCACAACACTGCAGATCACTGACTCATCTCCTGTTATAAATGGATTGATACTCATCTCATCCACTAAAAGCGGTTGAGTAGATCAAAAACAACTCAAGTTTTGGTGATAATAAGAAAACATTATGGTTAAGAAGTTGCACAGATGTTAAAGACTGGTTGAATTTGCATATCAAGCAAATTCCGAATCTATTTTGGCGTAATGTAATAATAAGATCCTAAAACAGAGAAACATTTGTGAAAAAAATGTAAGCAAAGGTCTCAAAATCGTATTTATTGTCTTTATTTAAAATATTTTCGCACAGATTGTTGAGTAAGAAAAAAAAAAAGTTTACGTTTGTTAAAATGTGTTAAATTAAATTCCCACACTCAAACTATAGCAGGCAAGTCTGTCATACAGGAAATGATTCTCAGGATATGGCAGATATGATTTCTATTTACACAGGGAGAGAATGTCTGCCGTATGTTTATATTGACTGTAACTGTTGTTAGTATATGTTGTTTGAGAAGAAATCACATGGTTGATCAAATATCAATAAAAACTAAAAAGGGTGCATACAATCTCACGTTGAGTAGGATAAGAATAAGCACAATTTGGAATGAGTTCTTCACTGTAAGACTCAGGAGGGAATATTCGAGATGCCCTTGAGTGAATACAGATGCAAGATATTGAAAACCTGACAATCTCAGCAGACTGCCTGGAACCAGACACTGTACATACAAAGGGTGCATGAATGTCAATATCCTGCTCACTTGTAAATACCCTGAATATCAACTGTTTCACAGATGCGCAGAGCTGAGCCACAGAGCCACAGAATAATATGCAGCACTCGAGGTGCTGGTGTGTGTGAACAAAATGAGTTAAAGAAGCTGCTCATGACACATACCAGCAATGTTTTATTTAAAGAGAAACCAAATACATCCTTGTGGAAGTGCGACACTGGACACCTTTATACATAAAAAAGAAAAATCTGACACTAAAATATAGGTTGACTTTACCCTCTCTTTAACTTATATACAAAACAAATTATACATACAGGAGATGTAAATATGTCTATGTGAGAGAGTGGCCTTTCGAGAGCACACAGCTCCTGCTAGGTTTGCTTGAAATGCAAAACATCTCCTTGATGTTGGGTTTGCTAGAATAGAAAAAGCACTCAATCTTAATTTTTGAATTATTCATCCCTGCCTAACTGGGTTATCTGCCATGTAAGGAGCCCTCCAGTGTTTGCAGTTTGTGTAGGTTATTGCAAATGAAAACACATCAAAACAGCCGGAAATTGTGGGTTTTACTCTGGCATAGATATGTGCTCTTGTTGACCGGTAGTTTCACTGATCAAAATGACAAAATGTGGCAAACCCCCATGATGTTTACAAAACTCTTGTCAGTAACATCAGCAAGAACTGATCCACTGGTGCTGATTATAAGGTATCACTCTACAGAAATGTACTACAACGGTGTCTATCATAATCACACAACTAGAGGATTATCCTACAAAGCATTTGTTACAGTATTTTGAGTTTCTAAATAAGTATTTTGTGCCTAGGTGATAAAAAGATTTTTTGATACGTTTTTAACGGCATATCTGAACAAGCTTTAGTCGGTGCTGCAAACATTTCCAGCGTAAGAAAACACACTTTTCATGCAAAATTATCTTCCATGTCTAAAAAGCAATAACTTAATTATTAAAAAATGATTAAAAAGCATGCAGACTATTTCTTTGATCTACCAGTCAGCTTTGACAGAATGTCCCCAGGTTGTCATTTTTAATTATCACCCACTTCGTCCTGTGCACATGGGCCATTCTTCTGCCACACTGCGAGCACTGCGGGTCTAGAGACTAAATAAAACCCATGGTTAAGTCTCAGAGAGGCTACGCCACTGCTCAACCATAGACTGTACCATTCAACATCACACGGCAGAAAACCTTCAAAGACAACTTTAATGTACATGAGAAGACACGATCGACAGATGACACATCAAAGCATACAATGCGAGCTGAAGCTATAATAAAGATTTAAGAACCGAAGGGTGCAAACTATAGACACGCTATATGTCAACATGGACATTAGCAGTCTCTCTCAAACTATTCGTTCTGAATATATTTTCAATTTTGTTTGGTTCTGGGAATTAGAATGAGGTTCATGTGCAATCTGTACTTCTGTCTTCCTGAAAGGCATCGAAACTCGAATGAATCTCTAGAGAATGCAATAAGACGTTACATGCGATGATAAAGCAAAGATCAAAGATCAGGTTGCTGCTGTGATGAGCACATGTTGGGATTCATGGCTCCTCAGTCCGAGAGAAAAGCAGATACTGAGGTGGAGACACCCCATTTTTTCCCTCCATCCTTTCTGGGTGGAGAAGTAGAGAGAGGCGCTGAAATCTTGCAGAGAACAGATGTGAATGCTTCCCTTAGTCCTGCAGTTGTAGAATTTACTTGAAAGAAATGGTTCAAAAACACTTTAGCAGAAATCATTATACATGGCGTTTCCACTGGCTTCAAATAAACCAGCGGGGTTTGCTGAGGGTTGTCATCTGTCCGGAAACTGAGAACCTTTTCCCCATTTGTGCCCAAATTAAATTCTCAGGTTCCCATTGTGTGAAGTACATGCTCACTTCCTTCCCATTCATGTCCTTAAAATGATCCGACTGTAATAGGCCATTTAAGGCCCAACGTGGTGCGCAGAGGAGAATTATTCTTCACCAGGTCTATTTGACAGCCCTCTCCTTTAAGATGCATGAAGGAAGCAAGCTGGAAAGTAGACAATGGGTGTGACGACACTGCAGCCTGCACATGGTCAAGTTGGAACGCTGTGAGAGGTGGAGTCTCATAAAAGAAAAAAAACTCTTTGTGCCATTTTAAACAGCAGCTCCTCTTTTCTGTTATAACACTGTAATTAGACAATAACTACGCTAATTAGACTGATATGACAGAAACTGGAGAGCAGTTATTTTCAACAGTTATTCAATGATTTTCTTTAGAAGACAGAGATGAGCGCAAAGACCCCGTATAAGAGAGCGCAGGGGTAAGCCACCAACAGCTGCTGCCCATCCATGGCCAACGCCGAGATGAAGATCTTTGAGGCTGAGAGGCTGCACCAGCCAATGATTGCTGCTGTTAAAATTATACCCACCATGCCCCTAGAGAGGAGACAAAGAAGAAGCAGGAAGTTACCTTTGGTTACAGCAACAATTACCTGCAGTTAAGAAGCATTTATACAATTGCAATGAATGTGGAAGATGAAAAAATATTGGTTTACCTTCAATTATTAACTTGTACTCTCTATCCAGTACAATAACATTTTAGCTCGGTTTTTTATACTACTAGACAGTGTCTTGAGTTGTGTCTATACACAGAAAATCCCTAGCTTCATGTACAGGTTATATCAACACTGTGTACTCACTGTAAAGAAAGGAGGACTGCAAAGCTGGAGAGGAGGATCATGGGGAGGAGGCAGTATCCCAGCACGCTGGCCACACAGCCGAAGGAGACGCCGGTCATACTCATAAGGTTGAGTAGGCAGTACATGCCAAGGCAGCCAATTGCGCTGATACCGTATACATAGCCAAACTGGATCTTTCCTGACTGTGAATGGAAAAAAACATAAATGGATACACATGCATGTTGACAGCTGTACAGGTGGGTGTATATATTGTATATGTGTAGCAGTAGCAAATCAAGTTTAATAAATTACCATTCACTAATGTTAACCAAATTATTTACCAGGAGGAGTGTTGCTCCGAAGGCCAAACAGAAGACCATGGGGCCCGCAAGGTCCGTCTCATTCATGATGCTGCCGTCTGCTACTTTCATTGGATGCAGCACCGTCAAAGTCTTCTGCCAGATGTGGTCAAAGTTGATTCCTAATTCTGAGAGAGAGGCAGACAAATGACACATTAGACACAATGTAGAAGATAATAATTCCACAAAGTTGAGTTGAAAAAGTTTGAAGTACAATATTTGCCACTAATTTGCTACACAAACACTAAAGCCTTGCAATGGTCTCCAAAATACATGATTATTATTATTAGATCCATTTATTACTATTGTAAGTTTATGGGGCAAACTGATATAATTTATTGTCATTAAATTGCTTCCATTATCTCTCTCTATTTTAAATTAGTATGTTGTTGGTTTGTGTGTAAGTTTAAAAATGTGTAAAAGTTTATTTTATTCAAATTTTTATCAACGTTTGTTTATTTAAAGCTTTGAGTAAAAACATGGTACATAAAGTGAATTCTCACTTTTGAGAAGCTGTAGCTTCATATGACATTAAGATTTAATCTGTTAAAAAATTGGTCAAAAATAAAAATATATTATCACGGTTTACAAAAACAATAGACAGTGAGAAAAACAGTAGTAAAAGCAAAGTCAGAGGAACTCTGTAAGAGCCACAGAGCTATGAGGAGGTCAGACCCTCCAGGTTGTGGTTCACCTACCTTCTAACAGCGGTGGCTCGTCATCAAAGCTGCTGCTGTACATCGATTGTGCCGGGGATGGAGTGTAGGTCTGTGAGGGCTGGAAGATTTGTCCTGTGTACGGCTGCTGAGGCTGCATCATCCCAGGGGAAGCGTAGGCCATGGGCTGGGAGTAGTCATACTGACCGTATGGCCTGGATGACACATAGTAATTTTGCTCAATAACACTCTTTGACAGAAAGACCGACAATTTCTACCTTAAATTGCATTTGCTTCTCTATGATGATCCTCAGTGAGGCAGCGTTAACATTTTAAAACTAGTTTGTTGACATTCAGTTAACAAATCTGGACCTATTCTTATGAAACAATCATCCTAACTACAAACTTGGATGTCTTTTTCAAACTCACCTCAACACTTTGTGTGTTTAGTAAGTCTTTATCAGCTAAAACAGCACACAAATAATGAGAAACTGTGTTGCTCTTGGAGGAGAAAAGAGTTGAGGGAGAATGGAGAAAGGAGGACTAAATTTGACTCACTTGTTGTAGGGGTTTTCATTGTTGCTGTTGCTGTAGCCATAGCCGGCCTGGTTTTGGTCCTCTACACTGTAGCTTGACTGGTAAAAGTCTGTGTTTAAATTGTCAAACCCCGACATCTCTCACTCTGGAAGAAACAGGAAGATAACTGATCAGCTGGGATAGTTAGACTGAAGTCAGGTCTCCTAATCTCTTTACATTTACTACACAAGACACACTCTCTGACAACCTTGTTACTTTCCTGTTAAAGCAATGACTATAACATTTTTAAAATCCTAAATCCTGTTCTGTTGAACAATTATGCTTCATGATAAATTAGGTCAAATTGCCTACAGACACATATGACATGTTATGATTGGACTTAGCAACTATATTTTTATGATCAAAACAACATTACAAGAGACAGAATGTGACTTAGTTAACATTTAGATGTAGGCAGAGGCATCAAATTATGTATTTTGTAGTTTTCCTGCCGAATGGAAAGTAAATACAAAATTACACAACATTTGTGGCATGTGCAAAAGTTAGAGAACCCTGCTAAATCAGTTCTTCACCACAACCATTTTGACACTCCTGTATCCAGCTAAGGAGTATTCACTGACTCTTTGCTGAATCTTTCAATTCCAAACATAGTTTGAGACTGTCGTGCACACAAGCACTTTTTTAGATCTGCTATCCACATCTTCTGTGTTGAAGTCATAGGAGCTGCATCTTGTTTAATGCCTTTATTGAAAATGGACCATCTGCATCCAGAATGTGTTGATACTAAATGGAATCCATTATTCCCTCTACCCGTGCATCTGCTGATGGCTGCCACACAAACCTGAAACATTTGATTTCCACCCCAAAGCTCAAACAGATGGTGACTGAAGGATGACTTGGTTTTCACCATCTAACAGGGCATTACTAAATATCAAAATCAACAAAACATGTTAATAGATATGAAATAAATGAGTAGTTTTCACTGGTGGTGAAACAGCTTTAAGGCTGAAACCAGGAGCCCAACACAACCTTCCAGTTAACATTTCTAAATCACGATGGGCATGAAAACAAGACCGTCACCAAATGTTTGGCTTCACTCACATTAACTAAAGCTGCATGACGGATGTTCCTATCTTTTATTAAACATTTGATCGTCAACACTTTAAAGTTAACGCCCATGAAAGCGACAGTATTCACCACAAACCACTGTCCAGTTCCTGTTGTTAGGAAAACGTCAGCTCATGATTTAAAAACAACTGTGAGCTAAAGAGGCTAACTTAAGTAGCTGCACACAACACAGGGACATAATTACGTGTTAGCAGGATATCAGTATAAAGTCGGCTAACTAGCTAATTAGAGAAAAAAACATGAATCTCATCAAAACACGAGACAAACTGCTAATCACTGGGTGGCTAACGTACCGTTAACCCTGTTGCTACTTGGTGAGCTAATGCTAGCTAAATAACAGCAGTTGAGCCCCGGCCTGTATTTTTGTCCCTAACATCTGTAATATTTAAATATTTATCGTGCAGATTATCTTTAATCCTTGAGCCTTAGACTCAACCCGAAAACCAACAGTTACCTGTGATGTTGACGAGTCCGTCCACAGCGCTGCCAACTTGTTTGCGGCTGCTACGTGTCAGGAGCAGAAATGTAAATCTTCCGGGATGAGACGTGACGGACCGGAAGCGGCGAGGGACACTCAGAAACTGATCCTCTGCAGAAAATGTAGCGCGACCTAGAGACCGTCAGAGGTATTACACAATGAACCTCTCAGTTTATTACTCATCATATTTTTTAAGAGTTCTCATTATATTAGGGAACATGTGGTATTTGGTGACTGTGATTTGTGATTGTTCGTGTGAGTGGTTGTTTTTTTGAAATGTAATCTCTCAGTACAATTATTTTTTGTGTGTGCAATTCCTCTATTTATATGTAATACTTAACTTAAACTTCCTTTACACTTCTTTTTCATTTTTTATACATGCAGTTTGGAGAGAGATGGTAGAGTGGTAGAGTGATGGGCAGCCCGAAGGAGAAGCGCCCTGTGAGCAATTGGGGGGTACGGTGCCTTGCTCAAGCGCACCTCAGCAGTGCCCAGGAGGTGAACTGACACCTCTCCAGCTACCAGTCCACCCTCCATACTTATGGTCCATGCTGGACTTGAGTCGGCCACCCTCTGGTTCCCAAGCCAAATCTTTATGGCCTGAGCTACTGCTGCCCCTCTCAGTTTCTGTCTGATGTTTATAATGTACTTTATGCAACTGCAATAAGGAAATTTCCCCTCTGTGGGATGGATAAAAAGTCTGAATCTGAATCTTTGTTTCTATAGTTGAGCCCTGGGATACTCTGGTGACGTGTCATGGATGGATGGAAGGATGAGAGGCAGGAGGATAGACAGACCTTGTTGATGAGAGGTCAGAGGAGAATGATCAGACTGGTTGGAACAAACAGAAAATCTAACTCATATCTCCAATCTAATAACTGTGGTGAGCATCTCAGAATAGAAACCATGTCCAACCTTTCCACTCATATCTGCCAAAAATGATTTGATGCAAAGTAAAATATGGTAATAATACAAAATTGATTCAAAATACAAAATGGGCACTGAAAGGTCACTTGACACCATTGATAGAAACATTATAAATGATTAGAAATATATAAGTCTTCATGTAATGATTATTAAACAAACACACATTTGGGGGAACAGCACTGCATTTCTAAAGAGACATGATAGGACATCTGAAACTACTGTCTGTTTTGCCCATCACAGGAAGGTATGAGACCCTTGTGGGTTCAGACTCATTGTCTGAGAAAACCAGTATCTAATAGTAACAGAGACAGAGGCCAGACGATGATTTAACAGGACAAGTTTGGAGCTGCAGGCAAGAACAAAGGTAGTCCCTTTCATCAGGAGGCAGAGGAGCACATCGATCACTCAGCCGGAGCGGGAGAGCTGTGCCACTACCAAATACCACAGGCGGGTCCATCCTCTCTGATGATGACAGATAATGTAAAATAATTGGCTGATGACCTCTGCTGAGAGGAAACAGGGACGGGAGGGGTCGACGGGCCGAGACATCATCAGGGATGTTGGCGTGACCGATAATGAATGGTACACCGCAAACGAGGGACAGAAATTAAGACAAATTGTCGATCCCCTCTACAGTACGGGACAGATATGAATTCATATCTCAAATACAAAACAATTACCTTTTTCTCTGGCTTTACTAAAAAGGGATTCTTTCTGCCTCTTAGCTGAAACTAAAACATCTCTGTTATCTATTATAATAAACTGAATTTTAGCCATAGATTAAATGCCACAGTGTTAAAATAAACTAAATTACACAGACTTGGCTCTAATCCTAGCCTGGAGTTATTAAGGGATTTTCCCTCTTGAGGATAATTTTCTTGCCAGGAAACTTTATTACCATCACTTATGTTGTGTTCCCTGTTGAATGCTGCCAACTGCATCCCAGACTTCATGTTGAATCACTTAATCCAGGATCGTTCTATTAAAGGAGACATACTATGGTCATTTAGACATTCATGATTTGTATTAGGGCTATTGATTAAAAAAGTTTACGTGCTGTATTGTTCAGAAAAGGCATCACTGTCCTCATGCTGTCTATTGCTCCTCTTTTCAGTCTCTGTCTGAAATTCTTGGTTTTCGTTCCTGTTTCTTTAAGGCCTCAGGTCTGCTCTGATTGGCCATCTGGCCCTCTCTGATACGATTGGTCAATTTCTTCCAGCACATTAGAGTGTGTAGGAAATGTCGACTTCCACTCTTGCTTTTCCTGGCTTCTTGAGGGGGCGTGCCAGACGAGATGCATGGCGTGCATTATGGAAATATGGGCGAATATGTAACATGACTTTACAATGATGATAAAGTATTTGCCAGACTACTACTGATGTGTTTCTGGAGATTCAGAAGGGTTTTCTGTCGGGGAGAGGAGCTCCCTTTACTGTGAACTTTGGGCTTTTCAACTTTGCACATCTTTCACATAGACAAAAATACCAATAACATACTATAGGAAAGTAAAAACTGAAAGAGCACAGTTCGGTTCCTCCAAGGTTTGTATTAAAGCTGAACAACAGGCAAATGTAACGTGGAGCACACACAAAATGGAGGTGGAGGAGAAAAACAACAGAAGACAATAAAAGAATATCATTAACAAACCTCTCGGCTGTGCAGGCCCGACATGGATCATTTCTCCATTTTCTCTGCCATGGAACAAAATCAATTTGATGCACCAAATACAAATTCCTACAGCAAACACTAATCATAAGCAGAAATGAGTTGCCTCCCCTCCACTGCCTCTCATCTCTCCTCAGACTTTTAATCATTTCCAAACTTGAAGAACATGTTTCTTCTTAATCCACTTAATGAGAGAAAATTGAAAAGTGCCAGAGAGGGTAATTGAATATAGGGCAGTGTATTGCTATGTGCCGTCATAATTGCCTTCTTTTATAAAGTCTCTGCTGTAATCCTGCTGTCACTGCCTGGGTGGATGAGTGGATTAAAACTACTGAATTTCCTCATACTGCTGCAACCTCTCGTCTCCAAACACCTACTGCACCCTCAATTAGGATTTCTCTCTCCGCCTCTCCAGGATGAAGGGAAGAGGAAGAAGAAAGAGATCTACCCATTTTATGACAAGTTCTTCTCTACAAACATGGAAACAGATGGGAGATAATTTTCCTCCTTCTGCACATAACATACAATAATGAACGCCAAACACGCACAAGCTCTATCTTTACAGCAGACATTTCCTCTGAACATTACGAGATTAAATTCCTTTAAATCATTTAATTCAATTTCCTGCCACCCCGTTGACATGACTGCTGCACAGATCATAAATTAATAGGCATCTGCTTCTTGTGTGTCCTTTATCTGGAGCAGCTTTCCTCACTCTGTGAGCGAGTTACGGGCACATGAGCAATAAAATAACAAACAGCAGCTAAAGTTTGTCTGTTCCAAAATTAGTTTTCCACCCACTCAAGATTTAGCAGCTTCCGCCAAAATGATATCAATGTGAAATTACACCACATCCCAGAATATTTTGATTACATCAAAACATAATGTAAAGGATGAACAATGTGTTATTCTGAAATAGCTTTGTTTTGTAGTCCACATGTATAAATGAACATATATAGGTACATTAAAGCGAGTTTGATTTCATGTGAACCTTTGATTCTAAAACGACAGGCAGACCTAATACAGGTCTGAGGCTCTCTGGGGGAGTGCACTGTGGAGCTGTGCCATCTCTTTCTCATGCTCCTCTGGCTGGCATCCGAGATGGCACCAGTCGACCCACGAGTGTTCTACCTGTCAAAACAGATTTAGAAGCTTCTATAATAAGTCTTATATTGTAAACAGAACATGGCTTTGGTTCCCCTTCTTCTTCCACACCACCCTCACAGCCACTCAGGAAGTTTCACTTCATGGTAACTTTTGTTGTAAAGGATTTAGTATTACTGATGCCTTTCACTTGTCCCAGTGGATTAATGCTGCTTTGTTATTGCAGATCAAATTATAGAAATTCTATAATACAAACGCATCTTGGGGGTTGTTGTTTGTAACATTTCCAAAGTGCAGAATCCATATCTCACAATTTCATATCTCTTACATTGTTGATGCAATGGTCGAACGAGATTGATTTTGGCATCAAGGCTGATGGCAAAATCAGTGTGTTTGGAAAGAGGACTGCTAATAAGAAACATTTCATGCTGATTTGTAATATCTTTAAATACCAAACTAAACAAAAACAAATATGAAATATAGCATCGTAAAAGGAATGATAATATCACATTTTCAACCACAATTATGAATTAAAAATGATTTCAGTAAATCTAATGGCTGATAAAAAAAAAAAAGTCAGTATTTTTTTTCCAATCCAACTGAAACAAATGGTTTGACAGAGGTAAAAGGGAGTCCAAGACTTAATTCGAGATTTCTTATGGGACTCCAGCAGAATTGCCAGCTTACATTTTCTGATCATCAGTCTGGCCACTCGATGCCAGAAAAATACTCCCTCGGATACACTCACACGCTTTTATATCATCAGTTTATGAAGTTTAACCCGTTCCAGAAGTTATGATGAAGCATCGCAATTTCTTTTGTGTTTACTGTTGGCCGACCCCCTCAACCCATCACAATCCTTGGAGAGCAAGTATGATCCTGATGCCTTCAGCTGTGTTCACTAGACGGCAAAAAAAAAAGAAGAAATCCACAAGTCCTTCACTGGATGCAAAGAGTCTTTGGGTTCCACTGCATTGCTGCATTATTAAAGCTATGCTGTTAGTGGAGGAATAAATATCTGCCCTTTAATAATGGATTTTTCCCTGTGTGACTGTCAGCGCTAAACAATGAGAAGCCCATATTCTTGTTTTAATAGCTTTTGCTTAAATGGTCATGGATTTTCTGCTGTTTATCAACAGCTGTACTGGAAATATCTCAGTAAGATTTCATTCCTGACTGTAATAATCTTGAGCTTTGTCCATCCTGTTGTACATTAAAACATTAAAAGAAAAAGAGGATTACAAACATCAGCTCCTGTCATGCACAGTGCGTGGGTTTCTCTGAAGTTACTGTTAATTAATTTTGTTATTCCATACACCATTTATAAAGATGGATGACACATCTCCACTTCCTCCCACTATCCAGAAATTAAGCCAAAATATCCGGGA